AGGGACAGAACTAACATGATACTCCAAAACAAAGCATTATCCAATTTTCAGACCTTAACACTTATTGGTATGAATAAAATGTTGTAAAAGCAAGTTATTTCAGGTAAACTAATACAAATGTAAACTTAATTTGGGGAAAGGGGAAGCATTTTCTTCATTATTCTTATTGGATGACATATACACAGAACTTCCTAGTTCATAATGCCCAATAGAAGGCAAAATAAGAAATAAGAAAGGTAACTTATAAAAGTGACCTTTTTCTTGGTCTACAAATGGCTAAATAAAATTTTTATAAAAATCACCTTACACTGGCAATCTTTGCTCATCTAAAAAGTTGTCCCCTGTATCTTCTCATTAGCCCTCAGGTCAAATAGCACCTAAAATTGCAGTAGGACAAAGAGGAATTTTTTTCCTCTCTTTTTACTTAAATTCTCAGAGGTAAAGAAAAAGGATAAAATCACCTCAACTTTAGAAAATATAAAAGCAATAAAAAATTTAGTAACAGGCTTGGGATATTTTGAATTTACTTTTTAATCTTTAATTAAGATCATAATGGATAATCACTAAAGATTTTGAGATAATTCAAACAGTGGACTCACACAAAGCAGTTGTCAGGGTGATGCGAAACTGCACCACTTTATACATCGTCACTATGAGTCAGGAACAACATGATAACTTCATAACAGCACTCTCCAAAACTCATACACTGATGAATGTGATCATCCTAATTTTCAAAGAAGTATACTAAAGATCGAAGAACAACATAAGTCAATATAAATACATCTGTTATTTTATTGTTTGCACTGTTTTCTCATCTAAGCAATTGTAAATCCACTTTATAAATGAATAAAAAGGAAATCAGGGATATTTTAATAATAATAATGAATGTTTAATAAATAACATGGAATATGTCAACTTTTTGGAGTATTAAAAAGCAAGGATGTTATTTTGAGGACTTGGGTGTGCCTGACACAAGCTGTGGTAGTTACATAATCTCCTGTCTACTTGCAAAGGGGTAGAATTTAGCCTGTCAATCAGGTCGCAGCTTGATGACCTCATTTGGAGGTGCTATGAAGAGAAATAGCTCACTGGAGGCGGGACACACAGACTATCCCTGCGAGACATTCCTATTGACAAGCCAGATGAAGCTACAGTGATACAGCCAGAGCCTTGGAGCTGGAGGAGCCACCTGGAGACTCATGACAGCACTAAGATGCTTCCACCTCCCCTGGTTCCTCAAGACTTTCCAGCCACTGGACTGTGATCTTCCTGCACTCAGCATCATTGCATGTGTTGCATGAGTCGGAAGAAGAACTTATAGACTGGTATAGGACATATGGGCTAAAATTGGACTTATGGACTTGATCTGGACTGGGATGTTTTCTCAATATACAATTGCTCTTTTATATAAAGCTCTTTCTTATAATCATATGAGTCTCCCTGGATTTCTTTCTCCAATCTAGCCGGGCTAACACACAAGCCAGGGTATTTTCAGTTGCCTCCTATGCATGTGAAAATTAGGCATTCAATAGGGAAGACCAAACCAGAATCAATGTATTCAAATTATGGTGCAGGTAAAGAATATTGAAAGTAGACTGGACTGCCAAAAGAACCAGCAAATTGGTCTTAGAAGGAATACAACTAGAATACTACCTAGAGGCAAGAATGATGAGATCTGGTCTCACATATTTTGGACTTGTTCTCAGGACAGACCAGTCCATGTAGGACATCATTGCTAAGTAGAGAGGCAGTGAAAAGGAGGAAGGCCCTGGACAAGGTGGATCGACACAGTGGCTTCAACAATGGAGGAACAGAGGAAGAAGTGTGAAGATGCACAGGACCGGGCAGTGTGTTATTCTGTTGTTCATAGGGTTTGTTTGAGTCGAGACTGATGCGAAGGCATGTAACCTTTTACCTGTCCTTCACCTTCTGTCTTGTGGTCATCTTGCATCCTTTCTGCACCCTTTAACATAGTTTCACCCTTCACCACAGTCCTATCTTGTCCCCACTTCCCTCCTGTTTCCATCTTACATCTTGCACCCACCACACCTTCTATCTTATAGGCATCTTCCACCATCTACTTTGTGTTACTATCTTGCCTGCACCATCCATCTTATGTAAAACTTGCATCTGTCACCCATTTTGCTTCCTCTGTCTGTATGCAGACATCCCAGTTGGTGGAATGGTTTACACAGCAGGGTGCTAACCACAAGGTCAGCAGTTTGAAACCACCTGCTTCTCTGAGGGAGAAAGTTGTGGCTCTCTACTCCCCTAAGGACTTACAAACTTGGACACCCGTAAGGGCAGTTCTACCCTGTCCTATTGTTTGCAGGGAGTAGTAATTGCCTGAATGGTGGTGAGTTCAGTTTTAGATTGGATCTTGTATCCGTCCTCTATTTTGATTCTAATTCTATCTGTACCACCTGACCCTTTCTGTACCCTGTATCATATTTCTTCCTCTACTTTGTGTCCATCTTTCATTTGATCTTCACAGCCCCATCATGACTTCTTCCCCTTCCATTTGTCTCTACCTGCATCATGTCTCCATTCTCTACCTTAAGAGACATATTTATCCTTCATTATTAATTTTGTCTTCATCAATAACATTTTATATTATATGCTAACATCAAGTGGGTTTGGGTGTATTGGATTAAATAGTGAAATTAAATCTGTTTTCAACATTTTAATGAGTACTAGGATCATATATACGATGCTGATTTAGAAATTTTAAAATGTTTTTGAAAACACAAGATATGATTTCATGTTCTTACTATAGCCCCAAACCCTCTTTGTGTAGGAGCTCTGAATACTTCTTTTCACATCACCCTTAGAGAAGCAAGGACTAGGTCTTCATCCATGTACCCATATTTTCTTTGGTATTACAGTGAACCCTCTCCACTTCGCGCTTCGACTTCCGCGGCTTCACTCTATTGCGGTTTTTGCGTAACAGCGCATGCTCTGTCATTACTGCCACTGATTGGCTCATACTGTACACGCTTGATGCCATAAATAATATAATAAATAATAAATGATAATTGTAACGTCCAAAATGTTTTACTGTATTTTCCCTTTTTTGTTTAATAAATTGGGTAATACGAGTGTAATGGTGACTAAAGGGTGTTTTTTCATGTCCTCTATGCTCTAACTATGAAAATATTTGATTTACAAATAAGGAATCCTACTTCGCGGAATTTCATTTATCACTGTAGGGTCTAGAACCAATTAACCGCGATAAACGAGGGTTCACTGTATAGTTATTTTAATAATTGTGGAGAAAAAATATTTAAATAACATAACATTTTTGTCCTTATGAAGAATTCTATTGGAGAAAAAGATAAGGGGAGAAGGCTCCAAATTTTATAAAAATTAATTAAAAGGAAGTGGACAGAGGTTACTGGAGATAGAAATGTTCTTTCAGTTTCCATGAAATAAGAGATATAAAGAAATAATCATATGGTATTATTCTTTAAAATAATAAAAAGATGAAAAACTACATTACGTAGTAGGATATGTGAGTATAAAGACATACCCTTCAATATTTATAATAATAAAATTCATTTTACATAATCAGTGGGATCTGATTGTGGGAGATTTCTATTTTCTCTTTAAAATTATATTTCTGAATAAATTTTTATATAAGAAAGTAAATCAAAAAGTAGTTCTACTAGGCTTTCTGGTAAAGGCATGGGGTGGGTGGTCTTGGCCCCTGGGCTGGAATGAACCTGGCTCCCGGTAGAGTCAGGGCAACCGACCCAGGGCCATGGCCAGTACAGTGGTAGCAGTTGGACTGGCCATTGCTGCAGTGGGATTTGCAGGACATTATGTTTTGCAAGCCATGAAGCATGTGGAGCCTCAAGGAAAACACATTATCAAAGTCTGCCAAATCTGCCTTCGGTGGTGCCTATTTCCGAGGTGGGTTTGAACCCAAAATGACAAAACAGGAGGCAGCAATAATTCTGGGTGTAAGTCCTACTGCCAATAAAGGAAATATAAGATATTCTCATTGACGAACTATGCTCTTAAATTACCCAGATGAGAGAGGATATCTTTATATAGCAGTCCAAATCAACAAAGCTAATGACATACTAGAAGGCCAAGCTAAACAATGAAGTAAATGGATAATGAATTTTCAGTACCTATTAGCTTATATATGAGCCTGACTTCTTATAATAAACCTCTTCAAAGCTTTTTTTAAAGAAACTAAAGTAACACTTCTAAAATATATATAAAAAATAAAAATTTAAAACGTAATGCTAATAGGGTTTCAGCTCATATGTACACAAATGTATTTAAAAATGTATTGAAACATGCCTCTGCAGTAAATGGATGGGTTCTTAGAAGTTCTCGCAGTAACACATTTGTGTTAACCTTGTTAGGGTGTCTTTACACACAAGCAAACAAAAAAGAAATATCCTCTCTCAGCAGTGCTTTCCAAGGGGATCCACTAGATCAGTTAAATTGAAGGATTAATGGTCAGGTTAGATGGCTATGGAAACTCTGTTTTTGGGATTCCAAAAAAATAATCTTGATCGAGTTTCCTCAAAGGACTTGGAATGATCACAAGAGCATATTAAGAAGTTTTAAGAAAATGGAAAAATGCATTGGTGAGGCAGAAACCAGAAAATGTGCACCAAATAATGTATTTTGCCAACACAAGTGACAACATGCTTGCTCATTTCTTGAGGACAGCAAGGACTCACCCTGCCCCATCTACCCCATCTCCTGGTCTTGCCAGTTCACACTTTTTTTGTTCCCTGTGCTCTAACATCGAAGAGGAACAGGGTTTGTGTCTCTCAAGAATACCCAAACTGCCTTTGTGATGACCATGTCACAGGTTTGTTTCTCAAGGTAACCTAGCCTAACGCAACTCCCTGTGTATTTTCTACCTTATGTGTGATGAAAGACATTCACTTTATGTATTTACTTATGTACGATGAAACCGTACATTTACTTTCTGTGACTAATATTCAGCTTTGTGAACAAATGATACAAAAGGTATCAACTGTTACGTAAGCAGTTCTTGTACCAAAGACACCAAATTCAAGGGCAGAAACCACCCACAGAGAGGTGAACATCTGCCTTTTGTTGACACCCCACTCACGAGTTTCTGAAATGAACGGGCAACACAAAGGTCTGAAACGCTGACTTGACCTAAACCATTTCCTGTCATGAAAGACAAACTATTTTACTTAGATAATAAATGTTAAAAACTGAAACCCTTTTAGTACTAGTAAAAGCAAGTAAGAATTACCATACATTCACTCCAGAAATCCAGAATTATCACGGGAATAGAATTTCCCAGGGAACAGGTCCAAGGTAAAACTCAGTGAAACGTGTCTGTAATTACATGCAAGCTCCAGCCTGCGCAGCAGAGACAGAGTATAGGAGCCTCAGGCTGTGTCCACACAGACTGCCTCCCAGAGAATTTTTCAACCTTCTCCCCCATTTTCATGTCATTAAATTCCACACGTAGACCTTGACTGTCACCTCCCATGTGGAAACTGAATCCCAAATTTTGTGGATTGAATTCTGATGCTTAAGGATATTTCTCTCCATATAAGTGCAAGCACAATTCTTTCAACCTCCGATGCACAAAGTGTTCTAGTTATATAAAAAAATAAAAAAAAACTAGAAGGGTTAAGGATGTCTTTTGTCACACCCTAGGCAAAATAAAATGGATCTTTGTAGTTCATTCGGCATAAAGATTGGCAGGGAAGAAAAATCTTCAAAAGCAGAATAAAAGGAAATGCATACTGTTTTATGGGAGCTATAGATAGAATTTTTATCTACATGGATAAGATGCGTTTTCAAATTGAAATTTTAGGTTTTCCTGAGCATGTGTGCCAGAAAATTGAGAGAGTAAATGAGGAGCCATTGCCATTGCAAACGGGAAGGAGGCCTTTTACTTGAAAAAGTGTTCATGGAAGTGTAAATGGGAAAATGTATGGGATATATCAGAAATTGGGGTGCAGACTGACAAGCAAAGCTGACAAAACACAGGCAGATGCCAGGTAAGATGTCAAACACTGAAAGGGCAGGAGCAAAAATACGTCTCAGGAAACCAAGATAATTTTCCATGAAGCTAAAACGAAAGCTTCTAAGAAGTGCTTACAATTCATAAATGTCTTGTAAATATCTTTGCTCTGGGAAATTGTTTTATCAATACAGCGTTTGTTTGGAAGATTGGCTGATAACCCTCAAAAAACCTTCAGAGTCCACATGTCTCTCAGATCAGAACTGGAATTATTTTCGAGTATCTTGTTGAACAGCTAACCTACCTGCATTTTTGGCCATTCATTGCTTATAAAGCGCCCTTTGTGGGTCGCCATACTACTCATGATGAGCGGAACAGAATTCTGCGTGCTATTGAAGAGCTTGAGCGGAGGAAACACATATGAGAATACCACAGTTGCATATTCAATATGATGGATAGGTGCATGATGCCTATGGCTAAGAGGTGAGTCTCAGGTAAGACTCCCTGAAGAAAGCGATGTGTGGGCTGAGATTGGAGGTTTGACTGGGGATTAGCCAGATGACTGAAGGGGATAAGAGGATGCAATGGTAGATGCCTCTAGGCATAGAGAGACATTAGTGTGAAGGTCCTGCATTAGGAAGAAGTGACAGTGATTTAAGATGAAAGAATGAAATGAGAATAGAAAGACAGAAAAGAGAAGAGGTGCCCAAGGAATGGAAAGGGACATGGGCCCCCCAAAATATTTAAAGGTATTTTAAAAATCATTTTATTGTGGGTTTATACAGCTCTTCTCACAATCCATACAAATATCCATTGTGTCAAGCACATTTGTACATTTTTGCAATCATCGTTTTCAAAATATTTTCTTTCTACTTGAGCCCTTGGTATTAGTTCATTTCCCCCCTCCCTCTCCCACCCTCCCTCCTTCATGAACCCTTGATAATTTATAAATAATTATTAATTTTTCATGTCTTACACTGATCGATGTCTCCCTTCACCCACATTTAATTATTTTTAAAATTTATTTGTCTATTTATTTTTAATCGTTTTATTAGGGGTTAAAGGTATGTTATAATTTAGAATAGATGACCCCTGGTGGCATTTCTGGGTACTCATTGGAGTGCTAGCCACAAGGTCTGTGGTTCAAAACCCCAGGCCACTCTGTGGGATAACGTTGAGGCTATCTGCTCCGGTAAATATTTACTGCCTCTGAAGCTCCGTATAGGATGACTGTGAGTCAGAACTGACTTGGTGACAGTGGATTTTTTAAGAGATATTTTATACTATGAACGAACTGAGAAAGATCAGCTATATTTTAATTGAAAATATGGAGGCTTTGCATGTAACAATGGTTAATAGTCACTGGACACCTACTGGGTAATTCTGCGTATATTGTTAGGTGCCCTCGAGGTGGTTCCGACCCAAAGTGACGCTGTGCACAAGAGAATGAAATACTTACTGCTCAGCCCTGCACCCTCCTCACAATTGTTCCCGTGCCTGGGCCCACGATGGCAGCCCTGTGCAGTCCGTTTCGTGGAGTCTTCCTCTTTCTCACTGCCCCTCTGCATGACCCAGCATGAGTCCTTCTCCAGGGAATGCTCTCTGCTAACAAGGATGCCCAAAGCACGCGAGATGAAGCCTTGCCGTCTTTGCCTTAAGGGCAGTCTGGTGATCCTTCTTCCAAGACAGATAGATTAGCCATTTTAATAGTCCATGGTACTTTCAATATTCCTTATCAGCACCACAATTCAAATGCATCAATTCCGGTTTGGTCTTCTTTATTCCAAGTCCAACTTTCACATGCATATGAAGCAATGAAAAATGCCATGGCTTGGGTCAGGCACGCTTTACTGCTCAAAGAAACAGCCTTGCCTGCCAATCCTCTGAAGAGGGCTCGTGTAGCAGATTTACCCAGAGCAGCACTTCTTTTGATCTCTTGACTTGCTTCCTTCCATACGCATTGATTGTGGATCCAAGTGAGACAAAATCCTTGACAACTTCAGTCTTTCCTACATTTATCATGATCTTACCTACAGTTGGAGTGACATAGTGATGTTTCCTATTGATCCAGTTGTGAGGATTTGGGTTTTCTCTACCTGGAGCTGTGCTCCATACCAAAGGCTGCTGGCTTTGATTTTCATCAGCAAGTACTTCAAGCCCTGCTCACTTTCAGCAAGCAAGGTTGTGTCCGCTGCACACCTCAGGTTATTCATAAGCTTTTCTCCTGATGCCACATACTTCTTCCTGTAACCCGGCTTCTCTGATCGTTTGCTCAGCATACAGTTTGAAAAAGTATGGTAAGGGGATCCCACCCTGCCGCACACCTTTCCTGATTTTAAACCATGTAGTAATCCCTTTTTCTGTTCAGACACTGATTCTTGATCCATGTACATGTTTCAAATGTGCACTATGAAGTATACATGGGATTTCATTTAATGAGTTCAGTTCCATAAAACTAGAAATAAAAAAACTATTCGTTAATATCATTTGGGGCATAAGACTTGAATATTTATAAAAATCTATAAATGTGTTATTTTTCTGAGCATATTTTAACATTTTCCTTTGGACAGTGCCATCATATTCAAAATTCATAGTTCACACAGTATCTCCCAAATAACTCATAGTTCTCTTACAAGGGCCTTCCAAAGTGTGTGGAATTTTTCCATTATCTTCCTATTCCATTTGTCCACAAACTTTCTGTAGCTCTCTAATTTCTATGTAACATTATTGCTCATGATGAACTGGGAATTTTGTAGGAAATCCTGAAAATGTCTTCCAAACCATGGTCAGCAGAGCATCGTTGGATATGTGGTTCATAAAGGGAAGTTGACAATGTTGAGAGGATGAAGTGTGGATGAAAATGTTTGAGACCAGCAATATCGCAGTATCGTAAGAAACACAGATCTTTCCAACTATAACTAAAATATTATATTCTGCAATTCAAGATTTTAGAAGCACGTTTATTCTCCAACCATTGGCTTCAGAATAAGTATTGCTCATCAAAACTCTCCCTGGCAAGAAATATTCTTTCCTGAAACGATCCTGTACATTTAAACTCATAAGTAGTTTGGACTGATATTTAGAAGTGAGAACCTATTTCAATCCTAATTTGCACATGATTGGGGGCAGGCAAATTTAATGACTGAAACCACGGGGCTTGAGAAGAAAATCTTCTACCCATGCTTGGCCCATAGGCCTAGGGGACATTTGTAGTCTTGGGCTCCACAAGCCTGCCAATTTTAGCTTCAAGAGCCTTTTGATAAGAAATCCCATCCACTCTGATAAACATATCTCAGTATTTGAGAAACTTGGAAGTACATGTTGCTGCCAGACTCATTTTCAAGCTAGAACCATTTGAAGAGTGAAATTCATTGCCCCTCAAGGAATCTACCAGAGCCCTAACTCACTGTGTTTCCTCGGCCTTCTGACACACCCCAGATTCTCATGAGGGATCACCTTAAATTATGTTGTGAAGGAACTTGTGATTAAATGAATGAGCACCAAAGTTTGACAACAGTAAATCAGCAAATAATCACAGGCCTGGAAAAATATACGAGTGCAATTTCACAATGCCTCATAGATCTGCCTTCCCCTTGGCAGGCTTCAGCCCTCTCTCATCAAGCTCGAAGCCCTCCCTTGTACCGATGGCCTGGGGACAAGGGTATTTAACTTTGTTTATTCTTGTACCCACAAATATCATAGTACCCACCACTTCTCTCTTTGAAGGGGTCTAATGTACTTCCAAAGCTTTTAGTGTATGATTTGTGGAACTGTCTATTCTGAGAAATGTTGCCCAAAATAACATTTTGCAGATACTAAAAAGAAGTTCATGTAATTATACATAGGTTCCTTGGTAGATCTGTATTGTGCCTATGAAGAATGTCATTGTTTGTGGTGGTTTCTACATGCAATTTCATGTTAATATGACATCACTATATTAAATATTCCTTTATATATAACTGCAGTAAAAAAACTCAAGATGTGCTAACATCCGAGGAGTGGACTGGTTCACTAATAATAACCAGCCAACAATACTTAAAGGTGCACATTTGATAGCCCATTGTTGCCCCAGTGTTTCACTAGCCCCACTTGAATAAATAAACGTCAAAACTGACTATAAATGAAAGCTGCACATCTCCTTAAAAGTTATTTAAGAATAT